CTAAGTCGTTCTTCAAAAATAATTGTTTTTGGTTAGAAGTCTAAGTCGGAATGCGTGGATCTTTCAGTCAGCTCTTGCGAGGCTAGTCTCCGAGTTCACAGCTCAAATGCTACCGTCTGCCTGTCACTCTGCCTGCGTCTGCCCAACTGCCACCGTCTCTGTCCTGTGACTCCGTTTATATGGACGCCGACCAAAACCGGGTGGGGGCCTGTCGTGGTTTGGGTTCCTCGATAATTCCAAATCCGCAATAAGGATTTTCTTTGTTTTCGGACAGGAAAATTTATCACTTTCCATTTTTGGAAGTCCATTACTTTCTGTTTTAGAAGGGTTCTAAAGGGAATTGTCCTCTCAAATTCTTCCTTTCTCATATTGATATCTCACACCAATCCCCTCAGAGGGCGTCAACAGTTTTCACTTCTTTCTTATAGTCGTATCTCACACCAGTCCCCTCAGAGGCGTCAACAGGTTTCCCCTTCTTTCTCATATGTTTACCTTCTCCCATCGCTCACGCCACCATTCAGCCAATGAACGCTCGGCAGTGTGGGTGTGGCTAGTCTGGCCTCAGTTTACAATTATCGCTCAAAGAAAAAAATATCTTCCTTTTTCTTTTCTTTCTTTTTCCTGACTGGGACCCCCACGACTCGTAGTGGGGTCATTAAGTCTCTATCTTAACTGAATGTCATCTGGGATTCATCAACGAGATTTTCGTCAAGTGATTATCAGAATCTCCTTGTATCCTTAACGCCTTCGTATTTCTGTCGCCAACAATCCATCCAGGTAACAAACTTTTATCATGGCAAAGTCTGGACATAAAACAGGTGGTCCCTTTCCAATACCAAATGATATCTCCGAAAGATAGTTAATGGTTTATTCTTTTACATTTTCTCTTTTCCCTTCCTTTTTCTTTGGGGTGGTCTCAGCTGATCCCTTTCTCGGTCGGTGCTCGACCTAAATCTGCTTATCTTTTAGCATTCTGCTTTGTAAGCCACTTGACCAATTTGAAATTTTCATTATTGCCATGGGCAGATTGCTATCTTTTATTCGCCGCGTCATAGCATAAATTAACTCTGACAGATCCGAGATCTTACGAACTTCCTATCTTCTGCGAAAAAATACTTTTCTTCGCAAATGAAAATAAAATCTTTACCATTTTTCTTTTGTTAAAAAAAATAACATCGCTCAGTATGTCTTTCGTGATAGCTTCTTCTCGCCTTAAGTATTTCTCGCTTTTAATTTTCACGCTTAATTAGTTAGTCAAACTCTAAATAGTGTCACATAACAGAAATCTGGTTCTACAGAAGGATAGTAAGAATTCCGTGAACGAAGCGAGTAAGCAACGAGGAAGGCTTAAACAAAATAATAACGGAAATAAACAAACCCATAACCAGGAAAAGGCGCCTGAAATACTTTAGACGCATAATGAGGAAGGCTTGGAAATCTTAACACTCATTGGGCGTATTGATGGCAAGAGAGATATAGGAAGGCGGCGAGCCACTTATCTGACAAAACTTGTGTGAATGGATGGCGAAACAATGTGCAGGGGAGGGGGCTTAGCAAAGGGAAAAAACTGATAGAAGAAGAAGAAGAAGAAGAAGAAGAAGAAGAAGAAGAAGAAGAAGAAGAATATATGAGATTTCTGGGACCGAAAGCTATTTTGACAAGGGTAAACTTGTAAATTAATATATAATGGTTAGAAAGCTTATCTTGCTAGATCAATTACGACTGAATAGTGAGTTCTATCCTCACTGGGAGCCCAACACTTTCGGCCTTGTGCCATATCTAAGCCGGGCTTAGAAAATCACTATACCAAATCGACAAATTTTTACCACGTTACTTAAAAATCGAAAACTGAAAACGAACAAGAATGAACAAAATAAATAAATAAAATAAAATAAATAATCAAAAATTAGTAAAGTAAATTAACCCAAAGCAATAAATAAATAAACTAAATAATAATCAAATAAGAAGACCTCAAATGTACGAGTAAATGTAATAATAACAACCAACAATAAATCATCAAAGTTAACAAACAAAACTATAAATACTCGTCAAACGGCATTCAGATCAACAATTATTTCCACTCAATAGCCCCTAAATAATGCGAAACATAACCGTTACCGGCCACCAAAATAACCGTTAGAATAATACAATAGACGACCCATGATCTTGTATGAAGCATTTCTGTACCCATTTGTGCAATTTGCATTAGTATACGCACTTTGTGCATGAGTGCTAGCTACTCGAGGTTTTGTGTTTTGGCTTCACCTAGGTGGTGGGTCTAAAGTCATTTCAAATGCAACAGGATGTATTGGTCGCTTGAGAGTTGTGCCTTTTGCTGCACATTATTATAATAAAAATGTCTTAAAATAACTGTCGGACTTTGTCCATTTCAAAATGTGTGACGTCATTTGTTTACATTTGGATAAGCTTTGAGCAGATATCAATGTATATGAGAGATTCATGGAAGATTGAAGTTTAAAGGCAGTAAATTCGACCTTGCTAATCGAACAATTCTCTGTGGTTCGATTCCTGTCGGAGAACGAATATTTTCTATGAAAATTTCTCGGGCATTCAGTCCGGTAAATGTTACTAATACCGTTTATTATATAAAAAACCCCCCAAAAACAAAACAAAAAACAAAAAAAAAAAAAAAAACAAAAACAGAGCATTTACTTAAATATTTGTATTTATAAAAAGAATGTATAAACATAAAAAATATATTACATTAAGTGCTGGTGTTAATAAAATAGTGCTCGGTGTAATATAACAGAGCTATAAGCATATATTAATGAAGATGCATATTATCCCTCACCGGTAGCATTACACGGAGTGTCATTCTCAACACAATCTTCAGGTGCTGAGTAGAGACCGACCGTTACATAATTTAAATTTTAATAAAAATAGCTGGTTAATGCAATGCTGGTGAAGTCCATATATTATACGGAGATTACGTTTTTTTTTATTTAAAAATATATATTGCATTTAAAATCGACGGGATATATATATATATATAAACGTTAAGATCTGTGTTTATCTAAATTGCTAAAGCTATACTACCCTTCTCCTTCCTCCAGAACCCTACGTCCATTATTTCTTATTTCTTTACGTTCCCCCTTTTGCTTTCCCCTTT